TCCTGCTCTCATTCAAGTGCCTACCAAGAGTCAGTCACTGGAAATGCCAGGTGCTGGAAATGCAGAGATGAATAAACTGAAAAAATTGGAAACAATCTTAGGATCTCGACAGTTAGTGACATACAGTATGGACTACCTATATGACACAGGACTTGTCGAGGGTACAGAATATAAGGGAGTGACAAGGAACTCCATAATCAAGATAAATAATCTAACAAATAAAAATCAATCCATGGTGAATAAAGCAGCAAAACTTTAAATAATGACAGGTCAGTAACGATTCTGTGCTAGGCCTATTGGGACCTGAGGCAAAGGAAAAATTAGTAATACTGATCCTGTATTCAGAACTAAATATAGCATTGACAGAATGTCACAGAAGCAATAAAATGTGTCATGGAAGTTTGCTTATTGACAAAAATTCATGGCATATTGTCGAATGAAAAATGAGAGATTATAGAGCCATATATAAAGGATGATCCTATTGAAAATATACTTATGTATTGGAAACCGTAAGAACATATGCTGAGATTCTACGAGCTCTTTTCTCTTATTGCCTTTGTTTTGTGTTTCCTGGTTATTTCAACAGTGAACATGTAATTCTTGTATAATTTTCTTAAAGGTATTTAACAAAAAAACAAGAGAATTGTAGCAGAGCACAGTGGTCTATACAGCATAGCCGATTATGGGCTCTCTGACCTATGGGAGACTGGAGGGCTGTCCAGATCAAGCTTGATGAGAAGCCGAGGTTCAGCAAAGTAGAAGGACTCAGTAAAGCTCCCATCTGTGGTGGGGTGGAATGGGCCTTTGCATTCAGGTCTGTCTTGCTGGGATCCACATCACCCACAGCCTGGCATGCTGAGTCTCTTGTTTCCCGGCTTCTTCCAAGCTGAACCATCTAGGTCGCTCTTCTTCATGACCAGCTGCTGCTCATTGACGTACCTCTTCCATTGGTGCTTTTCTAGACTGAGAACAGAACTGTAGGAGGAAAACCTGCAAGAAATATCTGGGTAGATGTGACTTGGCCCTCCTTGGGTCCTTAGCAAATGACAGTTGGGCTTGTGAGCGACTGAGAAAGTATTTGCAATGTTATGTTTTTCTCTTTGGCACGGACACACCCCACAGACTGGCATGAATCATAAGGCATTTCCTAAAGCCCCCATCTGCCTGGAAATGCCTGGTAGTATTTCCCAGAGTTCAGAAGCCGTCAGCCCTGGATGCCAGTAGGTTTAGCTATTCCCCACCCAGCCGCAAAACTCTTGCCCATCCCCTCAGGAAGGCACTGAGAGGAGAGGGATCCGAGGCAGAGGTGCCACCTGTAGCCTACAGCCACCCTGGAATTGTGCTTACACAAGCCTCAGAGTTTAGACCCTCCTGAGTGTCTTCTCTGTGACTTAGTAGGCCTACTGTCTTAAGCGTGATGCCTGTGGTAGACAAAACAGAGGCCTTTTCTTTCCTAAGAAGTGGGTTCCCAAGCTCCAGATCACCTTTAGTAGTAGTGTTCAGTCTCTGTTTTTCTATTGAATGTACAAAGCAGGAGTACCCTTGGTTCTAAGCATGGGTGTGGCATTTCCCAAAGTCAGCCATGACAATATTTTCCTTGCAGCTAGCTATAGCTGTGTAACTCCGGCCAAAGACATGTAAATAGAATTATCATGTGGAAATTTCTGGAAAGTTTCTTTCAAAGGGCGGTGGAATGCTGCCCTTATCCCTTTCTCCATCCTGCTGCTGGTAATACAGATGTGATGGCTAGAACACTAGCAGCTTTCTTGAACCATGAAGACTTGGCATGGGGGAAAGCTTTAATAGATACCGGAAAACTAGAAGCTATGAAAGAAAAAATGAACATATTTGACTAGATTAAAATTGTTTATTTTTTTGTGGCAAAAGATAACACAAAGACATCAGATAAAGAGATTTGGAAACTGTATTGAAAAATCAGAACAAAGAGTATAGAGAACTTTTACAAATTGACAAGAAAAAGATAAATGACCCAATAGAATATTGACAATTTATAGAAGAACATTTCAAAGAGCCAAAAAATATGAAAAATCACTAGTAGTTACTGAAATGGTTAGGTCAGCCTGAAAAAAACGAAAAAGATCGATAATACCTATTGTCAGTCTACATGCAGAGAAAGGGATATTCATATACTCCATTGTTAATAAAAATATACATTTTATAGCCTTTAAAAAATCTATCTGGCAACATCAATTAAAATTATTGTATGAAATTAATTATTTTATATAAATTGCATAAATAGTGTGTATTTATTTTGACTACCAATTCATTCTTATCATCTGTCTAAAAATATCTGTACCAAATAATGACAATTACAGCAGCATTTCCACAGTGTCCAAAATTTAGAATAGAAGTGACTGTCCAGTCATCAGCAAATGGCTGAATAAGTTATGGTGTAGTCATATCTAGGAATGTTATGCAGTCATTAAAAAGAATGAAATAGAGATTTGCCAGTAATAAATTTTCTTTAGATATTGATGAATAAGAAAAGCAAGATGAAAAAAAGCGTATACAGTATTTAAGTAAAACAATGATTTAAAAACCTATATGAATGTATGTTTTGTTAGTTTGGATCTTCCAAGAATCAGTCATTAAAATGGGTTTTGACTTGCAGGTGGTTTATTGGGAAAAACTCTGACTGAAAAAATGGGAAGTTTTGGAGGAGACTGGGGAAGGTACAGGTGGAGAACCGCAGTACAGTTCTGAGAAAGTTTTAGCATCTCGGATAGGGAGTCCTTGAGTCAAAGTCCGAGGCTTGTGGAGTCCTTTGTCTTGGGAACAGGCCCGTCTTAGTGTCCCTGTCTTGCTTAGTCATTTGTTGGAGAAGCGTGGCCTCAGTGCACGCACTACAGTAAGGGTTCTGAGAGGTACATTCTCAAGCTGCTGTATTCACACATGTGGATATGCTTATGTATGTGTGGGTGTGTCTACATATGGATATACATGTACGTATACATATGGATATGCGTGTCGGTATATATGTGTATATGTGTGTATATATAGGCATAGAGACAGGTATGGAAGGATACCCACTAGGTTGTTACATGCATTATTGTGGGGGAGGTTCTACAAAAAAAAAAAAAAACAAAGAAGTAAAGATTGTACTAAAACCCCTAATATTCCAGCCTCCTATATCCAACTGCCTATACAACATCTGAAGCAACATCAATTTTACCATGTTTAAAAAATGAATTCCTGACTTTGTCCCCTTCCACAGCCCTCCTCAGTTCTGATTCCTGCTTGTCTGTAGGTGACCCGTGTTCTTCCCACTGGAAGCCTAAAAAATCTTTTCTTTATGCCAAGTATTCTGAAATCTCACCAACACTTGTCCTGCTGTGGGTCTTTCCTCAT